TGTAGCGCTGCGTGGTGAGTGCCTGAGGAGTTACCCGGGGCTCTTCAGGCCTTTATGTCACACGTTAAAACATGGACAGATTAAGCTTTGAAAACCAGCGTTGGATGGGGTTTCTGTGCTTTCCCAGGGCTGGAGGGTTGCTTGGGGCATGGGGCAAGGGAATAAAGCAGAGTAATGCTTTCTGCTTTCCCTGCACATGAGCTGGAAGGGGAGAAAAGGGAACAGGACCCCTCTTTTCACTGCCTAGCACTGAGTGTGTGGACTGTCATGGTTCAGTTGCCACTATAAACCAGTAGAGCCCTCCTGACCAAGGAAATAGTAAATTTTGTGACTCAGAGGGAACATCTTTGTATCCTCAGAAATCCCTAGGCAAAGCTGCCTTAAACCTAGTGGCTTGCTTAGGTCTGTGCTGAAAATCACAGTCCAGACTAAACAGTCTATCACTCTTGGTTAAAGTACCCCAGATGAAAAGACACATTTTAAAAAAATGCTTTTAATACTGTTTTCTCCAAAAAAAATCATTACCTCCTTCAACTTCTCAACAAGTACAAGCTTCACAGCTTTCCTGCCTCCTCTGGAATTACTAGGTCATTGCAGACATCAAAATTAATGAAGAGATGAAAGATTCAGCAGAAAGGCAAAATCTTACTGGAAAAATAGTATCAAAAGCAATCCAAGAATACTGAATATATCTAGCAGAATAATAAACAACTGCAAACTTCCTGATGCTTAAAAGAATACACATGAAGGATGATACAAGTCTTTGGGGCTATTTTTTTTCTTTAAAACACCAATTCATTTTAAAAAAGTGAATGTATCCATGTGCTTCTGGGGCTTTACAGTAGTGAGATTTCCCCACTATTTTTGCAATACCTTCAACTCAGATAATCAGCCAAACTCAGTCAACACAGAAAGGGAGCTCTGTTCGCTTCTCACCTCCGCTGCTGGCGCAGTGGTGGGAGCAGTGCTGCAAGCAGGGGCCTTTGGACTTCGTTCCACGAGACGGGTAGGTTATGCTAAAACACGGTTGCCCGTGTGCTCCTCCGTGCCCATCCTGCCACTTGGCACTGAGGAAATGGCAGGATGGTTACGGCTAACCTGGAGCTGACTTTGAGCAGGGATGAGAGAGGAGGAAAGCTGTCTGGAGGTTAAAATAAAATAAATATGTATTCAAAATAAATGGTATGTGCAATTCAGCTGAGCTTTCTTGTAGGAAACAAAGATGTCAAGTTTCTTTTTGATACAGACTGTCATTCCCCCCTGGCAGTGCCTTTTCAGCTGAACATAGGAGAAGAGCTGGTAACCTGTAGCTCTGTATTCCACACTAGTCCTGATAAAGAAATATTATTATATGATTTTTCTATTGGAAAAAAAAAGTTTTTCAGAAGCTCTCTTTTAAATAGTCTCGAAACAGACTCTTCCTTCATCTTACCTGCACAGCAAGATGACCTCTTGGCAACTCAGCCTAACACAAAATAAGAGTAACTAATATACGGGATCCTCTAGCACTCCCATACCACTGCTAATAGAAGAAAAATCAATATTAGTTCCAATATGAATGGAGTGTTGGATTGACTGAACAGGGAGCTTTGAAATAAATATCTAAGAAATGTTTGGATGAAATGGACATCTTTACAGACATTTGGTCTGCATTTCTGAAATGTAGATGATTAAATCCACATTGTTGGCTTCTTCCCCCTCTGCACTATGTCTTTCTTTACATCTTGCAAAAAATTTATGAACAAAGTTATTGTAAATCTGCAATGTCTGTCTTGTCACTTAGATTCTTTTCAGAAATGCTGCCTTGCCAATGTAGATATACAATCCTGTACGATTAATATTTATTACTTATAATTCTAAATACAATGGAAGGTCACCAAAAATACCCTGCCTGAAAGAGTCTGGAGCCCTTTAAAATCTCACTGGTGATGGATACTGAGTCTTGAGAACTGAGCTCAAAATCTTAGCAAAACACTTTTCTATGTAGGATTTCCAGTACTTCCTGCTTACAACTATGGCTAAGGCCAAAAAGCACAAAGGTGAGTGAAAGTTACAGATCTGAAAACATGAGCTTCGATTTCAAACCCAAACAAAGGTCATGGAATGCCTGAACCTGTCCATAATCTTGGATCAGCCTATAACGGAGTTATGAGTAAAAAGGAAAGTTAGGATCAGACTGAGACTTTAATACAGACAGAACAGACATGGTAGCTGAAAACAGTTTCATTTTCTTCCTATTCTTTCTCATATCCACCAATAGATTTTAATCTAGATTTTGGGGTGTTATTGTTAGAAAGATTAAGGTATTTAAGGATTTTTTTATTATTAATTAAAAGGAAGGTAGCTTGGGGATTTTCATTTATAATGAAATCCTAAAAAGATTTTAAGACATGCAAATCATCTTTGGAAAAGCTCATTGCACTAATAGCTCATTTTCTTTTTGGTATAAGCCCAACCATTTTTAAACATAATTTTTAAGAAACAGATGCAATTTGAGGTGACTGAGATCAAGCGACTGTGATATGGCTCTCTTCTAGCAAAACTAAAGAAGGACAGATTAGAACATTTCAGAACCACGAGATTCAGCAAACTGGTGAAGATTCAGAGACGGAAATCACGTCAGACCCTGAACTGAGATCTGCTGCATGTTTGGACAATCTTCCTTAAGGAGTTAAATAAGCATAAAGCAAGAATCTACGTCTGCCTCTGTGTCTTTATTCAAAGATCCACTGCAACTGTGATTAAGCAAAGCCACTAACTGAAGTACAAATCTGGAAAAAGACAACTGAGGAAAATGTAGATTCTGTTGATCGGCATGCTGCTAGCCAAGTCATACTGAAAGTAAAAAAATCCCAGTGACCATTAATCAGATAGAAGACTTTTCACTAGAAATGAATTTGCAGAGCATTGCTAATAACACTCTTCTAAACAGACAGAGCCCTCTTGACCGGCGTGCTGAGTGAAAACAAAACCAGAAAGACAGACGGAACGGACTGAGTCAATTAAAATAAATAAATAAATAATTGCCGTAATTTACAAAAAAAAATTTAATTCACAAATAATTCCAATCTCATGAAGAAATGTTTTAAACAAGCCACATGTGCTTGTGCAGACACTTCCAATCGCATTAGATTCTTCTGGGTGCTATTAGTGTTCTCTGAGCCAGCTGATTTCTCAGCAATATTTCGGAGTGCCTCAAGTCTAGCCATTGGTAAAATAGCCCATTCTAGGAGAAGACTTGGGAGTTCATGGATTTTCTTCCAAGGTTTTGAAAGGTCAGAACAAATTGATCATTGCATGTGAAACAATAGTCAACCACAAAGTATCTTCACAGTCAACGAGCAACATTCTTCTGCCAGCTGGGTTAGCGTGAAAAGTGGAATAATCCCACCAAAGCAACAGGATGGCTTCAGATTGTCATCAGCATCACATGGCAGAGGCTGGCTTTCGATGCCATCTCCAGTTCTTCCGCTCTCTGGCTGCAAACAAGCCTGCTGCTGCATTCCTTTCGGTCACAGCTCACCAGCTTGGGGTTCCCCTCAAATCAGTGCAGCTCTCTGCAGCTCTGATCAGAAGGGGAGCCACACTGGCTTACAGCTCAGCTTTATTTTATCTTTGAAGACAGTGACAAACCCCCCCAAACTGAAAAGCGAGAGCCATGGGCCCTGTTGTACATATCAGGGCACGTGAGCTTCATGCAGCAGAGCTGTCATTCTGAATTGGCTACAGTAACGTGCAAATAGTCACTAGTATAAAGCAGATTGTGTCAGGCAGATGCTACAAGTAGAACAAAATAGTTTTAGCAAACAATCCTAATTCAGAGTCTTGTAACCTGGGTCAGTAAACCCTGGAGGAAAGGGACTAAGGTGTCATGCATGGATTTCTGCTAGCATACTTGCCAAATTTCTGGCTGTAAATGTGCCTCTGTCTGGTTTAGCCTGACCTTTTTGAGGCTCTTAGAGCAAACTTCTCCTGGGGTGAGATGATGAGCATTCAAAAGTGACCCATCTGGATCCCAACATGAAGAAAGCACTTCTCCTCCCTGGAATTCATGTGCAGCAACAGCTTTCTCCGGCCTATGCAAGTTTCCCAAGATAGCAATTATAAAGGACCTGGCAACCATACAGTCAAGATGACAATACCCTACGTGGTTTTGTTAGCTGTGCCAGTTCCCTCTGTAGTCACTGGAGTCCACATGCTGCCCCCGTTATTGCTATGACTGCATGTCTCCACCAACTAGCAGATCCACTGGGCATTTTGGCATGAGCCCCGCTCTCCCAAGGGCTGCCTGCTCAATTGCTCATTCACCCTCTTTTTCTTTAAACATTTGGATCCACAGCATCATGCAAATTTTATGCAAAGTAGCATCTGCAAGTCTGACATATTCGCTCAGGCTTCCCCCTCTTGCACCAAGTTAAAAATAAATACCCTATAAACTCTTGGGTCTGCTTAGACAGAATACGCATTCAGAGAGGTTTTTAAATATAACTGCTAAGAGCATTTCTCCTTTAGGGTCAAACTCCTTTTTTTTCCCCTCTCTCTCTCATATTTTTCTCCTGCCTCAAGAATCTCAATAGCACTGGGGGAAAAAGTGTCCTTGAAATAACCTAAAGAAAAAAAAAACAACACAGTTCTAAGTGTTCCTAACTCTCTTACTTGAAATTTCAGCTAATTTCCTATTTTCAAAACTCCAAAGAATAGAGGTGGTGATATACCCCCAATGTGAAACAAGAAACTAGTAAAGTGGACTTATTTCCAATACTGATTGCAAATAATACTAGCTGAGCCAGATCTTAGGTTCAGATTTCAAAGGGTCTCCACCCCTCACACTAGAGCTGCCTTCTCTTTTCTCCAGGGCGAAGCAGATTTGTCCCTGACCGATACACTTGAACAGGTGAAGTCATAGGGATGCCAACCAGATAGCGTAACGATAAAGTATATTTTAAGGCAACAAGGAGAAGAGTCTGTAAAAGGGGATACTGAGCCACCGCTGAGGTCAGTTAGGACTTGCTGAGCCGCTTGGCCACGTCTGCGTAGGCTTGCTCAATTTCTTTGTCTGCTGCACAGGTGTTGGTGAATTCATCCCTGGCGTACGCGTTCTTCAGGTACCGCCACAGCCCCGTCATCTCCGTCGGGAACTCAAAGTTGCGGTATTTCTTTGCCACAATCTAAACCAAAGATAAAAGAGGGGAAAAAAAGGCATCTTGCTGGTGATATAGCTCCAGATTCCTTTTTAGAGAGCTTCTTACCCTTTCTTATCACAGAACTAATAGCAAAGAAGCGAAACACTTGGAGACTCAGGGGAAATGTTGGTTGTTCCTTATCTTGCAAAGGTGCTACGTGGCCTAAGGACTCTCTATATCAATGGCCTGGCTACTGTCACCAAACTATGACTTTTATGGCAAGTGAATTTCATTAATTTTATCATACTGTTTTTTGGTGTTTTTTATCAGTCTCATGTACATCACTTAAAGCCGAGACATTGCATAAAAAGGAGCTGATTAGCTCAGTCATAGAAAGCAAGATAGATTTAAGGGAAAGGCATCAGTAACAATTAAATATAACATATTTTCATATTAAATGTTATATTTATATTTAGCATATTTTATTTTATATATACTGTATTTCTCTTTTTAATGTGTAATATATTTTCCCTGACCAATGGTGTCAGAGGACATAACCATCTACAGCTGTCGGAAGGCTGTATCTGTCCTCATGCAAAGGAAAAATTCAGGGTGGCATGGGTACCGTGATTGAGAAACCAAGATGATTTAGCCGACATTAGAAACAGAAGTATTAGGATAAACTGGGGGAGAAAATGGTTATTTCAAGACTCTTTGAACTAGGAAAACGTCTATCAAGGGAAATTTTTGATTTCTAAAAACACTCAGGCCCTTATTCAGGAAAATAGTTAAATGCATACTTAATTTTAAGCACCTGTATAGTTCCATTGAATTCAATGGGACTAATCTGTGCTTAAAGTTAGTTGGTTGGTTAAGTAGCTTGCTGGATTGGGATATTTCAGTTTTCCTGTAAGAAAATACCATATAGAATAATCCTGTGGTGACAGAATGAACTAGCTGATAGGAAGGGATGGATTAGCTGGTTTAATGACTGCTTCCAATCTCTAATTTTTCTGACAGTATAAAATTGTTCCTGGGCATAAATTACATATGTACGTGCCACAGAGTTCCCTTTTATTTTTAAAGTGCATGGCAGAGCTGTTTTCCATCTCAGATTTGTTAGGACAGTCATGTTCTCAGAAATGACTGTGATTTGGTTTCATTACCAGGATCCACTTGGTATTTGCAAGTCCAAATCCTGTCCTAAACTGCATTTAATTAAGGATTCTTGCCTTCAATGATGGTTCACACACACATGGGGAAGACAAAACCTGCTGGGCAACTTAAGTCAAGATTTTCACAGTTTCCAGCTCATATCTTCCTTCAAATGAAAACGTCTTAATAATTTACCCTTTTCGTCCACCTATAAACTACTTTTCAGGCAATGTCCTATGGCTATGCTTGTCTGAGAAAGGTTTTAATTCTCTTTTGACATCTTTCATTTCATCCCAAGGAGACAGGAACCAGTAATAGGCCACACAGTAATTTTGCATTGTCTGACTCTAACGTCACCAATGAAGATGAGCCAAAGAAAGAGCTTAACTTGTGAGGATATTATCACATTTCTTAGCTGGTGAACTACGCACTTTTTCTTTTTCTTTTTTTTTTTTTTTTTTTTTGCATGTGTGCAGTCAGCTCACAGGCTCGGTTTATGTTTTGGCTCATGGAGCCAATTTAGAGGCATGACTTGGCTTTAATTCCTAGCTTTCTTGCTTGCCAAGGTCTGCCAGGTACTTGCTTTATTCTAAAGAAACATGTAATCTGATAAATGAAATAAATGCAACATTTAGAAGTCAAGATGATGTACACCATTTGCACTATACCAGCAATGACTGTACATTCTAAATCCTGGAACTCAGCGGTGACTTTGATTTGTTAACTTGTCTGTGTGAAACACCAGATGGAACAAACATTCCCCAAAAAGATGGACTGCTGCTCTTAAGTTACAAATGGGTGAGAACTGACTAAAGTTTTGACATCTCTCTTAAGAATAATGGGGACTAATTAATATGAAATATGCTGTTACTTGCAGCAGGGTAAAAAGAAAGACATGGGATACTTAGATCTTAAGATTGTCTTTGCCACTAATTAGTAATGGGACAATTTCCCCATGTACTAAATACAAAGTTGTTTAAGTTAACCTATAGGAAATACTGAAGAGCAAAAGTGTGTTTCAAACTCTACTCTTCTAGGACTTAAGATGCCTCTGCTGAAACATATGGTGGCTTTAGCTCACAGCTGTCAGTGCAGGGCACTTCATTTTCAGATAAGGCTTCTTTGACCATTGCATGACATCTTCTACCTTGACAACATGGAGTTTGGGCAGAAGGTTGCAGTCAGCAAGGGTAAGGTCATCGCCATCCAGAAACTTGCGTTTAGACACTTTCTCCTCTTCAGTGCTGTCTGCATCAATCTCCTCTGGCAGAGGGGTTCTCAGATAGTCATCCAGCTTCTTCAGAGCCTTCACCAAGCCCCTTTCAAGGGCTTTGCCAAAAAGAAATGAATAAGACATTAGGGCAGAGTAAGAATTATTTAGAAACACTCATTGTCAATGGCGAAGGTAGTAGCTAGAAAAAAAAGCCAAGAACCATTTCTTTGTTGGTAATTGGTGCTCCAATGCCTACACAGTCTGATGACAAAGTAGCCCAGCAAGGTCTGCCTGAGGGTAAAGCTCATCCTGCAATGGAAAAAGGGGACACAGGAAGCTGTTGTGCCATGTCTTCTCCTGACTAGCACAAAAAAAACCCCCACACAACCCAAAAAACAAAACAGTGAAAGAGATCATGGAAGGGAAGAACAGCTTGTCAGTATGATACAACAATAAATCACATGTACCCCACAATATTCTTCTGGTCTTTTGAGGCCATCACACAGTGAACTGGAGCCCTGCACCCTGATACTTTATTTTTCTAAGCAGCCAGGCAGGACTCTAATGAAGCAGAATTTTCTAGCATTACTTCAGCAATAAGAAGGTGTACGTTTAGTACTTTTAAACCCCTTCCAGAGTAATCAAAGTCAATAGCAATAATTCCAAAGAGGCCAACCAGAGCTCTATGGAACTGGAAGGTACACTGCAACAGAAATAATGGTAATATAACAATAATTAAATAAAATCCTACACAAAAAACGTGAGATATTCAGCCACTGTGAGGATTCCCCTCACTTCAGGTTCAACTTAGGTGGAAATTATCTTTTTGATATGTCTCAAATAGGATGTCACAATGGAAAGGAGAATTTGGACACCTCTCGGTTCAATTACTAAAGACCATGTCCCATACTGCTGCTGGCTCCAATAAACTCCAGCCTTTAAATGCCACTTAGACATAGTATACAGCAGAGTCCAAATTTTTCACTTAAAAATATCAACCTGGGAACAGAATTTGTGTTCTTATGCTTTATTGGCAGGATAATAGAAAAACTTGATTGCAACAATGCACTTCGAGAAAGCTGAATGTCTGAATGTTATTTAAACTGCAAACACGCTGGGGCAGGAAGGATCTTTTGCATCTCTGTTTGGAGGGTGACAAGCACAAAGGGGTCCCGGCCCCTGACAAGTGCCTCAAAGTGCTAAAGTAATATAAATAAGAAACAGCAAGAATTTACAATGTGAAAAAATAACAACATGACTCATGGGCTTAGGGCCAGAATTTCAGCTGGTGAAAATTACCTGCAGTGATTTATACCTGCTGCAGATCTGGCCTGGAGTCAGCATTTAAGGCCTAATCCTGTAAAATCTTATATCTCTGAGTAACTTACTGCCATTTAACTTAGGGAAGACTACTCAATGCATCAAGTTACTCAGGCGGTGTAGCCCTACAAGGCCTGCGGAGATAAATGTATTTATGGAGCACAAGGCAAGCTTCGAAAGGCTGCGGCGATCGCCCTGCGCAGAACAGCTTGCTGGCACAGGTAGCTCCGCTGGCTCTGCTGTCAGCTGCCCCTGTGTTTTTGGCACGGAGGGAAAGGCGGCGCGTACAGGGCCATTGAGAGAGCAGGAGCTGAACACCGCAGAACATGATTTCTCTGCTGCCCTAACATCTATTAAACCTTGTGCCAGTGGTGGAAGTCAGATTAAGCCGCCTGATGTCTTGCTCCCACTGAAGCCTCTTGGCCAAGCACCAGGGAACCATACCAGCTCTTTTGTGGCTGACTCTTAGACACAGTGGCAAATCCTGATTTAATTGATTGACTGGAGAAATGACTGCAATCCAACTGAAAACACCCCAACAAACATAGCAGGGAGGGAAAGAATTTTATTTCTGAAAGCAGAGCATCTAAAGCGACTGAAGTGCTGCCATCCATAAAACAAAAGTGTTGCCATCCCTTATTTAATCAATTCAAATTGAATTTTGACACTGACATTCTGCTGTCAGATGCTGGCAGTGGTGTCTTTAATCGTCTGCAGCTGTGCTCCGCCGCACAACTTCTACTGAAGGGTAATAACTGCGTAGCGTATAATATACCCCCGTGTGGCAATACTCAGAAGATTTGGCAATCTCTCCTTGGTTTGACCCAGAACACCTGTTGAATAGACAGTTCTCCTTCTCTTGGTCAGCCTCAGACTATGTCGTCTTACAATGAATTCATTTAGAGACAATGGAATCAAATTACTGTCATTTAATTCAATTCTGCTCATCCAGATTTCAAAGAACTGGCTTAACGTTTAGTGTTTTCCAGCATCCCCTTCACCAGTAGGACTGTAGGTTCTCTGAGTCGTCTGTGCAATATTGCCAGTATCAACACTAAATTAGATGCTTCGTGCTAGCCCATGGGGTCAGTTAGGTGTGTGGATGAAGGCAGGACCAGCAGGTAAGATGAGTTTATGTAACTTTTCTGGAGCTTATTAGGGTTGGGATTTTTTTTGCTCTTACTGATATATCAAAGTGCGTCATGGCTGTCTCAAAAACAATGCCTGGAGTGAAGCCTATTTGTGACAGTGGGAAAAACATCTATCTGAATTCATACTTGGCGCTTGCATATGGCAGTTTTAGGCCAGAAATAAGCATATGTTCAGGGTTCAACTCATCTGTGACCTAATTCACAGGCTCTGCTGGAACCCACAGGATCCTGACATCTCACAGTGAAACCACCACATGGTCAAAAGCATCTCACATCCTGATAGTCAAGAACTGGACCTCTACTTGTGACACCAGTGACCCCATTTAATTAATCAAAGCTATGCCAATCCTAGTAAATCTCTCAGGACAGTCATGAAAATAGAAAAGCAGCTAACAAGAGAGAACTGCCTTTCTTCCAACTGAATAGTGACAAAATTTTGAAAAGCTAAGAGAATTAAGATCCTAAAATTGCCATTTCAAGTGTTTAGGTACATAGGATCAGATTTTTAAAGCCTGTAAATGGTTTTCAAGGCATTTTTTGAAATCCACACGCAAATATCCATGTTGCAAATCCTACTTTCTAGGTGCCCTAACACATTCAGATTTATCTATATGAGTTGAAGCCTTATGTTCCTTGAGAAGGTGCTCAGGGAAATCCCCACTCAAAGTAGGAGGATGCATAAAGGAATCTCAAAAATTTTGAAGCAAGAGGCTTCTAAGTGCCACATCTCAGAGAGACAGAGGTGTCTAATGCTGGCATGGGTGGGAGAACCCACCTCATGTTTGAATTCACCAGTAACCCCCCCAGAAGAGAGAGGTATCAAAAGCAGGGTAGTTTTTTCTTTCTTACAAAAAATCTGGGGAGAAGTGTTGTGATTTTACCAGTGGTATAGGGAGAGTATTTTCTGGAAAGTGGAAGACTGAGTTTCAAATGCCTTTTCAATGTGATGTCAGCCCAGATCTGCCAGATGACCCCCCACCAGTGGAGTATCAAGTAATTGTTACAGCTCTGCTGTTGAACTACTTCACTTTCCATAAAGGACTCAGCATTCAGTGGATCACGACTGAAGGCTGACACCACAGCTCACAGTCAGAAAACCTAACACTCTCATTTTCTCTCATCTGACTGATATTAAGCATTATGTGAAAGGTGAAAAAATGTGTACAGAGACTAAGAAATAACCTCCTCAGAATATCCTACTGCTCTGAAGGTTTTGGGACTCTTGCTGAGGGTAATATGAACTGTCTGTGTTTGCACCACTGAGCAAACTCAGCAGAAGAAAGAGTTAATTCTAAACCTCCCATACTACGGCTGTTTTGTGACAATCTGGATGACTCTATACGTTGTCTCCACTGAGAATATAAGGGACAGTGGGCACTAACCAGGGCAGAGGTCTTGTGAATACCAGTGACAGCACCAGACTGAATAAAGACACTTAAAAAGATGTGACTAACTAAAAAGTGACTAATTCCCCATTTGTGAACATACTACCCATAATGAATTTCAGAAGTGGCTAAGCAGCTAATTCACTTGGCAACTTATCCTCTTGGAAACATCATTAAATAACTGAATAGGTTTGCTGATAACAGCTGAGGCTCCACTTCAAGTCAATGAGTGGGATTAGTCTTCCCTGAAGTGAGTAAATTAAATGAGTAGGTTTGAATTAAGCACCCTGCGCTTCCTCTGTAGCCAGTGGGGTCTTCTCTTCTACACTTGGTTTAGGTGATCCTTAAATCAGCTGTGTGAACTTTTCCTGAAGTGTCTAATCTCAGCCTTGCATTGTCTTGGTAACATCAGGGTGGAGGATTCAATATTACGACACCAAGTGGAACTATGCCCGAGAATGTGGCCCTGTGCTGCTTTCGAAATTTCTACCTCCAATTGCTTCCCCACCCTTGCAGACTTCCAGTATGAACTTAGAGATCCCAAATGTGACCAGCTCTGTGAGAGGAGTCCTGTCATCGGGTTACCCATGCAACAGCTGCAATGTCTGAACTCCTGGAAACCATCTTTTCGAACAGTGAATTCATCACCAAGCACAAAGGCACCAGCATCGTATTGCCTCCACAGTGATGCATTTAATATAACTTCAAATTCCAAGAAGTTCTACCTGTGTAATTACAAAATTCATGGTGGAACCATCTCTCTCACCCTTCACTACTCCACTCTGGGCTACTTATGCAGCCAAAGACAACTTAGAGCAATCACCGTTCTTCCTGTCATCCCACCAATAGTAAACAACGATATTAATAAAAAACCTCACAAGCTCTTTGTGATTTTCCTTCTCCCTTCAAAACTGTGCTTTTATACAACTTTTCTTAAGAATCCTGAGTTCGAAGCCAGAAAAATAGCACTTTCCAACCTCAAAGCAACCACAGAACATTTAATGAATGTATTACCAGCTGTCAAATGCACAGGGTGAGGTTCAATTTAGCTGATGATACCTAATTCACAATGACGCTCTGTTTTCAGCAAAAGGTTACTTGATGTTGAACAATGAGATTAACAAATCCTGACATGCACAGAAATACAAATAATGTAACAAAAGTTAATAATTTGCAAAACCGTGCGCTCGGTTACGCTGACATAAAAGAGGAGTAACTCCGCATTGTCAACAAGCTATTCCATATTTACCCCAGTCCAACCAAGAACAGACTTTGGCTCTGTTACTCA